AGTGGTCGACTAGACTAGTTCCTCAGATCGCCAAACAGGCCCAAGTCGTTGAGCAGGTCCGTGCCAATGCTTAAATGATTCCACAGCCGCGACTGTGAAAACTAATTAGTTATTTGAAGGCTTCGGACGGACTGCAGGTTTGTCGGCTCCTGAGTCAATCAAGTCTCACACCAGTTGACGTATCGAACGGGAACCGACAGTGACCTGGGTCACCATCGGCTGTCGATGACACCCCTTCCTCGTAGAGTGTAATTTGAAGCTGTGACGCACTCGCATAGCATCTAGGGTACCAGCATCCAGAACATGAATTGAACTGCTGATGTGACTGGTGGACGGATGTCCACTCCACATCACCGCCAACTGTGATTACCGAAAAAGCCCCAGTGACTAATCACGCGCTCACCAAATTCACATGTAGTTGTAACACTCAAACCACAGACCTAGTTTGCTTTTTCACGAAAACAGAAATGCAAAACGATGTCTTAATATACAAATCACAAGTAAAACTCTGTTACAAAGGAGAAGGGTGAGTCGGGGTAGAAGGAGGAGGAGGAGGAGGAGGAGGAGAAGGCGACTTAGCTTCCACACTAATCATCATCACCATCATCTTCTTCTCCTCCTCCTCCAAGAAATGTGATTGGCGGTTGAAGCATGCTGCAAGGCGCCAATATGTCTCCCAGGACGACGAATTTCGATTCGGTAGAGACGGGGACAGATAAAGTCGGGATGAAGATTGTAGAGAGTGCATTGTGTCTTGCAAGCACATACGGAGTGTTGGTCAACTTGGCAGCACATTTGCCTTTCCTCGCAATCAGGAAGTCGTCAAATTAGCCTGGTCTTTGGGCAGGTCGAAGAAGCACTGGTGTCTACAGCCAGAAGAGGGTTTTTAAAACCGCTACAGGCATTTGCCACGGGTCAGTTACAAACAGTCAACACACACACACACACCGAAGATAGAGATGGCAGAGAGGGTCCTATACAGTTGACAGCGCCATTCTCGATGGAGGTCTACAGAATCTTGAAGAGAGCAGGCCTACATGCATCGGCATATCGAAGAATCAACTACACAGTGTGGATTTCGTGCAAACAGTACTATGGTGAAAACTGCGGGCCTCTATTGGTGCTAATACATTACTAAAATGAGCGTGTTTTGTTAACTAGAAAAGTGGCTTTTTCTCGTTCATGCAGGAAGTCCCTAATTCGCACGCAACCAACGTCCAAAGTCACTTCTACTTCTTTTTCTTCTTCTTCTTTTTTTTTAACATAAATGCGCCATATCGGTCAAATGTTACTCCTAATCGGTTAATCGTTTTGTGCTCTCTGGAGACTTATTTTACAACTCGTATCCGACGAAATTTATAGTTTGACTATTGGGTATCCACGATTCCCCAAGATTGCTCGTCGTTAGTTTCTGACACTACTTACAGTAATTCACTAGCATGTGTTTTATTACGCTTTTTTTCAGGTCAAAGTCAGCCTTGACTTGAATTAATTTTACTATTGGCAACCCACTCCGCACGTGGCTGACGTGATTAAAGCTCGGGAAGGTCGGTTCTAGCGTCAGCAAGGGATCTGGTACCGCCGTTTGAGTGACTTTCTCTTTGTTACGGTCAAACGTAACATTGACTTACCCCTGGAATACATGGAGTCCATTGGGGTTATTGTGGAGAAGTGGAAACACGTCGGTTGAAACGCCGATTCCAGGCAGTCCCGCACCACTCAACGCTGCAACATCTGTGGAATACTGTGGCCCCAGGAGTTGCCGCAGATTGGCTTTCCACAGATCCGCGGTTGCGGGATTGGCCGGGTGTAGAACGCTCGCTAGAGGGGGTGTCGCTGTTGCCGGGGCAACCAAGGTCCCGAGGCCAGTTGGCATGGCAACGCCCGGCGCTACGGCAGCCGCGAACATGGCATTCAGTCTGTGGAAGAAGAAAAAGACAACTTACACACCGGCCAATCCAATCATCCACCCGATTTCGCTAGCTAGACCGTTAGTTTCCAATCACAATTGGGTTTTACTAATTCCAACACCCACAAACACGGACCTATTGCCAGTCGTAATAAATTAGTATATGTAAGTTTACAAGGAACAAATAAATGCAGAGTTAATTGTGAATTCCGAAATGGTGTCCATGGGCCATTGCCTCAGCCAATAGCGACTCACCGGGCTTGGTCGAGGGATTGGGCAGCGGGCGCTGATTGGCGGGAAGAGTCAGAAATTTGAGGGACAGTGGAGGTGGCAAGGGATCTGACTCCACGCTGACTGCACTCGCCCAGTGGATTGTACCTACAAACGAAGCATTTAACCACCTCGTTAAATTATTTGCCGCACAAAATTCATTCAGAGCGCGTGTCTGCTTCCTTCACATGTCGAACAGCAATTCACATCGCTGCACAACTAACGTGCTTTGTGCCTACTTTCTAGGTCACTTGTAGGAGATAAGAGGATGCGATCGTGTGTGTGGGGGGGACCTATAGCACGGTTTCTAACGCGTATTTAGAATCAGCAGCTGCACGGATTGAAAGCGGACACGGACACGGTGCTGCAAGGCATCTTCGAACTGTTCCAGTTATCGCTGCATCGATAACCCGTCCACATTAATAAATTGGCCTTAAGTCTCACTCCTTTTTCAATTTCCACTTCGAATATACGCACTTTTTAAGGTTACATTTTGCCAACTGATGGTTAGGAGGGAATCATCAACACAGACAAAAGCGGATACACCTGCCACAACCGACCTCATCTTAAGCGAGGAAGTGGCAGCCGATTGGACAGGGCCACCAGCCAATCCAGAGTTCTTCCAGCTCAGCCGCTGGGCGGGCAGAAGGGGGTTGGGTGTGGGGGCCGATTGGTAGCCGAGACCCGCAGCCTGCAGCCACGCCACCTGCTGCTCCTGGTGCTGGCGTCGGGCGTTCACGGCGGCTGCGACGGCGGCCATCAGTTGGCCGGGCGCGTCCGTGAAGCCCGCGTCGGCGTGCGCGCCTGGCGTGGGCACAGTGAGGAAGGAGGATGATGCTGCTGCTGCCGCCGCCGCTGCCGCAGCCGCCGCCAGACCCGCGGCGTCGAGCTGTGCCACAGACGTCGCCTGTGGCAACAGACTGGCCAGAAGGCGGTTGGAGCTGGGGCAGCTGGCGAACTTGACTGTGATTGGCTCGCTGTTGTCCGAGATGCGGAAGCCATTCAACTCGTGGATTGCTGCCTCGGCCTCCGAGCGCTGGTCGAAGCGTATGAATCCAACACCCTTTGATGCGCCTTGCAGGTAAAACAGAGAGATTTACTACACTGAAACACACACACACACATAGCCGTGTGTTTATGCTAGAATTTGGCCGACATTGTGAAGGTTAAACATGCAGACTATCAAATAGGCATCCTTTTGCGATGTGTGCGCAACATCAATGCCGTTTATCCGAGTGCTGATTGGTTAATTTGACTCTTGAAATGGACGCTTCGATGGAAACATACAGATGGTATTAACCAAACAGCCACCTTCCAAAACCTCATTACAAGTCGAATTTCAAGAACACATGAACCAAGCTCATATTTAGGACCTGAATTTATCGAAGATTTGAAGATGTTACTGAAGCTCAGCAAGTAGTAACCTACCACAAACCGTTTAACAACTGACGACATTGAAATGCCGATTTATAAATCTAGGACTTGTAACTAGAGATCCAAGGACATCTTGAGACGAATTGATTATGCAACCGAAACGGCATGATTGATTCCAGAAAATGTTTGTTTCGGCTGAAATGGGGTCGTTCGACTACACCCAGTTAATTCCAGTGACTAATTCCACACTTGATCACGCTTGCTGGCTGAGAAAAATGTGTTTAGAACTGCTATTTGTGGCTGATTGTTGCGTTTGCTTTGTGATTCAACAGGCATGGGTTATTCCGCCAATTTGAATCCCCATTGGTTAAGGCACGGCCAATTGGCAGTGTCGTTTTAACAAAAGTAAAGCGCTTTTAATAGATTTAGTGTCCTAATTATTATTATTACTCAAAACTGTTAAGTAGATATTGTTAGAACTGTAGCAGATTGGTGACTTAGACCACGTGATCTCATTGTGCAAAGTTGGCGACGAATAAGTGCATTTGTCCGTGCAATCATAAATAACCCTCGTTACCTTTTTTCTACCGACTGACAAGATATTAATTATGCTCCACATTTTTTTACCTACAAACAGATGATCCTTCGTGGTCTTAACAAAATGCCGTTTCTGGTGTTTTGCAAGGGATTCTTTCACGTTGATCGATGAAGCGTCAACGGTAACGGTGAAATAGCAACGCCAGAACGCTCTTTTCGTGTCGATCGACAATAGTTGTGGAATTGTTGCATGTACCGAAATGTGACACCAGCACATCGCAAAGCGTGGTGCTGCTGTCTTCGGTGAGCAAATTGATGCTTAGAACCAGTCGAATTAGTAGATTGATGCTTAAACCGACGCATCAGTAGATCTATTGTATTTACGCGTTAAGCCTATTAATTCGCAGTGTACATGCTGTTGGAGTACAAATTTACACTCTCTAAATATCTGCGAATAGGGAGAACAAACTGATTCAAAACGGTTTCTCGCTAAGATGTGAGAACACACACGAATATTTCTTCATATTTTCTCTGGGTTTCACTATTTAGCTCTGGTGTGGTTCTTTCAGTTGTGACCGTTTGAGGAAATGTTTGCAAAACATCTCGGTAAGGGCTCGTTTTTAAAAGGCGCCATAAAATGTAACGTGTCCTACGTTTAAAACAACTTTAAAAAGTGAGTTTGTAGCGGATTAAGAGCGATCGCGGCAGAGTGAGTCACTGACCTGACGGTGACAATGACTCATCTCCTTTCCATTGGTTACTGTTATCAGACGCCTGTCATCCGTTCATTCATCCACACACTTGGCTGGCGTCACGTCAATAAACGGTAGTGTTCTCTGTCGCCTCTCTTCACTCCATCTCGGGTTGTTACGAATTGTTAACTAGAGGGTTGTGAGGTAGGACTAAGACACTAACTACTATAAGCTTACGTTGACCTTGACACGGGCTGATCGCATTGGCTTGCAAAAACAACGTTAACAATGAAATCGATAAAACACACTCTCTAGAGACGGGACCACAAATTGGGTCAAATTATTGCTTTCACAGCTTACTAAATTAAACCGGCGTCATTTAACAGTCAGTGCTAAGGAGGTAAAATTTGGTAAGGAAAAAAACCCGAAGAATTATGGAATGAGACCCACCCGTGGCGGGATCGTACAGAATGCGAGAAGTGATAATTTTGCCACACCGAGAAAAAATCCGTTCGAGTTCCTCCTGAGTCATGTTCTTCGGTAGACCGCAAATGTAGAGGTTCGCGCCCTTTATCGACTCGCTGCTGGGTCGCGCAATCGATACCTTTGAAACGACAAAAAACCCGCCTTAATTTGGCCAATCAGAGACCCGAAATGCTCACGAAAAATCAATTGTTTAAATTACGGGAGGTCGTGGTTGTGGTTGAATTTAAGATGAAAACACAAATTCCTGTTACTTTTGGCTTAAATAAAAATGAAAAAAAAGAAGAATATGAGGGAAGATACAAGGCAGGTACGACTTTAAGGACCTCCGCGTAGTGTAGAAAAGAATATGCTGTTTTAGTAGGTGGTTTGCACTCAAAAAAATCGATTCAACTGAAAGGGTCAGTGGTTATTTCATCATGCTGACATTAGTTCAGAACTCAGAGGGTAAGTGACAGGGAAGCTGCAAAGCCGAATAAGCTACATTGCCAAACAGACACACGCAGTCACAAACGCATGACTAGAGGCTGTACTGAATCGTCTCAATTTACAACGACCACCAGTCCCTTAGTCTTGAGTGGCTGCTTACGCTCAGCTCAATCGACCCGGCACCCGTGCAAATAGCCCTCTGACCCCGTATCTGGATGCTTTCGTGGCACTAATTGCTGTTATACAGCGATCTACATTAAATGAAATCATGTAGTTCTAAAAACCGACCAATAGGGAGAGGTGTCAAAAAACCAGCCAATACGGTAGCTACGTTAAGTTTGCTCTTTCATTGGACGCTAAACCACTCGATTGGGATGGGGCAATGCACGGCAAGTGAGCCTTTTAAGCAAATGCCGCAATTTATGGTGGGTTAGTGGTCGTGTAGGACTCTCAATTGAAGACAATGCTCTTATCGTTTACCCCAAGTTGGTCATAACGGAGAAGATCGCACAACTCTGATGGTCTTGTAATATACGCAGTTTTAATTGTTATTATAGGTGTGTGTGTGTGTGTGTAAAGTGTTTGACGACATTTTGGAATCGATTTCATATATTTATTCGCAAAATTACCACGAATATGTATCTTGAGTGACTAGTATTGGCGATTGACTCAATGTAACAACACAACTCAGAGAGGCACCGAGGAGTGTAGTTTAAATCAGGCGGGCACTAGTTTTAGTAATTCAAACAAACGCCGAGACAAGAAGACGATTGGGCGCACCTCCGAAATCAGAGTGTTTGGATAAACAAGTAACGAAAAGGCAACGACATTTGCAGGCAAGTAAATTGACAAAACATATTCAAACAAAACGGTGAGCCAAAACTGAAGAGTGGATAAATAGCAGTGTGTGCTCAACACTCGAGCCTACCGTGGGAGTCGATTCGGCGCTGCTAAATGGGAAAATGGCTGACATCAGTTTGCTATGAAATATTCACACACACACACACACGCAAACACACGTAACTGTTGGTTGGTGGTTAGATGAGTTTTGCACAAAAACGGCCAAGCACACGTCTCCAGCTGAGACTTCTCCACAAAACGCTGCAATGTTTACATTGGCCATGGCTAAGAGTGAACGAACATGTGCGCACGGCGTGCTTGCAAGACAATGTAAACACACACACACGCACACACAAGCACATCGTTTACTGACCAACCTTAATCTTCTTGTTTTTAAGTCGCATCCCGTTGAAGTGGTTGATGGCCTTCTCGGCGTCAGCCGGGCTCACGTAATTCACGAAGCCGTAGCCAAGGCTTTGACCTACAAGGAAGACGATGAGCGCAAGTGAGAGGCACCACTCCTAGACGTCAGCCAATCCGAACAGCGTTTGGGGCGTCACAAGATCTCAAATGAGGTTTATTAAACAGTGGTTTGCGGTTCTGCCTCAACTGGCTCTTGAAAATGAGATCTAGACCTCACCAAAAATGCGTAAACTTGAATTGAACCAACTGTGTTGAATGCACTTCAATGCACGTTCGCACAGTGACTAACTACCAGCGTTCCTGTTCAAATGACGTCCAATCACGCTCCTACTACAGCAATAATTCGGTTGAGTTTAGTGCTACATACTACTTGAGGTAAGTTAAGTAAGTCGGCATTATTCACAGTGGACGAGAAGACACAGGACTTGAGTACTTAATCGAGGTCATAGAGTAAACGGCGAAAGCGGAGACGTCTTCCATAGCAAAGATCGAATAGTTGTCGTATTTTCCCCCTCTATAAGCAATCACTTCTGACACAGAAGAGATCCTTCTAGTTGTCAACACTTCAACCCTACTCACGCCTTTCAAAATCAATTTGACCACCCCTACCTCACTTGCACGTGACCCCCATCTGGATTCGAAGGGGTGGAATGGATCCACACCATCCTCCACTGAGGTGCTGTCGAGACGCGTAGATTCAAGTAAGGCAGCATCACTCGTTGCTGTTTGAGAATTAACCATAAACTCGTTGTTTGAGGCTGCCATTTGTGGACTCTGTTGCATTCTAGACACGCAACATCACGCAACGTGACTAATTGAAGTTAATGGCTTTCTCGCAGTCTACTAATGCCGAATCCACAGTGCTGCGATTCTGCAAAAACCGGTATTGTCTACAACTGCGGCCTTAATTGCGAGCAAAGCCATCAGCCACAAACAATTTCAAACTCTGTAAACACGGAAGTGGACTGTTTACAGTTGAGGCTGTCTCGGAGAGAGAGAGAGAGCCAGGACAGGCTGATTTTGGCGTAAACATACCTGTGCTTTTGTCTCGGATCAACTTGCAACTCGCGACTTTGCCCATGGTGTTGAACAGCACCCGAATCTCCTCCTGCGTCATGCTTTGCGGGAGGTAATTAACAATGAGGTTGGTTTTGTTCTCAATCGACGCCGAACCGCTGGATTGTGACTCGGGCTTTTCGCCTGAGGCTGGGGTGTTCGACCCACTGTTGGCATTTGGCGTGAGCTGGTAGCTGGCGAGGCCTTTCTGACTGGACGGACTCGAGTTTGGAGCAAATGAGATCATCTGGAGGCGGGCAGGGGGGACGGTAAAGCAATTTGAAAGTTGGACGGCCTAGAGACAATGATCAGTGATTTGGTGCAGTTCAACACGCTGACTGGTACCGAGACAGATGACATGGTGCTCAACGAATTCAAGCGCGGCAATTTCGAAAAGATTCCCAGGAGTAAATTGTTGCGCTTGTTTGCGTGGGTTATCTACAGACAACTAAAAAGCTACGGTGTTTCGAAGATAACTTTATCAGTTTCGTCATCTCAACAGGGGCTGTTACAATGGAAATGAAAGATGCGTCGCAAAATCACTTCAAAGTGAAATATTTTTGTAGCGTGAATATGACATGAGCACATCTGTCGTTAAGTCACTTGTGTCTTCCGACGACAAACCCAATGCAGTCCCCACTATCGATTTGGGAAGCATCATTCGCACTTAAGTTGTGTGTTTAAATGCATGTTAATTGGCTGACTGTAGATTTATGCGCGGTCTGGCTTATCCGAATCCAACCTACGCAGACGATTGTCATTTTTAAAACCGAGACGTGGCGACGTCTGGAACTAGGGTGCATGTCTGGTTTCAAGCAGATAGCGTGTCGACAGAATGATAGAACTCCCGGAGTTAAACGCGTGGAAGGAGTGCCTGAGATGGTTTGTAAAGGAGTAGTTCCACATGTCCTTAAAACGTCGAAATTTCTAACCCTTCGACCAATCGTAGAGGGTCTCCAGGGGCATTTTGATGAGCAGGAGCCGATGACCTGAGCTAGTAAGGTCGGAATTCAGCTCACTACTCTCGTGACCGTCGTATGATATTTAGAAACGGTGTGAGTACACTTTATGCCAAGCAGAATCTCGAATTCTATCGACACTTAGGCAAACCAATGACTACAAGCTTACATTTCCTGTTTGCGAAATAATTGACCTGATCTGTTATGCAATTTATCACCCAAACAGTCTTCTGAGGCAGAGGGAAGCCATGAGCTGTGTGCACAAGTGTGGGAACTTAGTTGCAAACGCACAATTAATCGCATTTCATTAACCCATGGCGACTTCCGTGATATCCACACGGGGAAATTTGATTGGATGGCTTGCAGCGCCATCGTTAAACCAGAACAAGACGCAAAATGTGACCTGGAGTCAATGTAGCTGGCTTTACAGCACGCGTTGTAGCCCACGTAGCTCAGCTTTCTAAATTTGTGAGAACAGCACAAGTGCCATGTCTTCTCAAGGTCACTCCTAATGAGCACTCGCTAATTGTGTTATAAGTCACAATTAAGTTGAGTTTTTAAATAAAGACCACACTAACTCGAACGGAATGTCTCTGACGCGTCTCATTGGCTGAGTAGAATGACGTCATCTGTTCCGCCACATTACAATCACGCGACCTACGCCTTGACCGATGCATCGCAATTAATTTTTAAAGTAATATACCTGTAAATCAAACAGGCATTGGAACTAGTAAGAAGCTTTTGTTACTTTTTTGTACAAAAGAAATTTAGCCTATCTTTCGTCTAACTGAAAAGCCTTTTTCATTGGCTCCGTCTACCTGAGAGTAAATTAGCGTAAATTTAAATTATCGCCATGTCAAGAGGCAGTGATTTCGCACCGAAATATCACAGCTGCGTGTTGTTGACATTCCTCATTGTCGGTGACATTTAAAGGCATTCAGCGAGTCACTTGTCATGTGACAAAAAGACAACGAAAAGTGGTAAGCGGAAATGCCTAATTTCGCCGGTCTGCCAATCGTGGCTAATTGCATCACCCCGAGACATCAACACCATAACTCAAAGTTCAAGGTTATGAGGCTAACTTTCAAAGCCATCGCAGTCATGCTAGCAACGTGTTTTCTCAACTATGCTTTGGAAATGGGTGTTTGAAGCACCAAGTTGGATCAGCGGCGTGTAAAACACATTCATGTAGCTTATTTACTGGCATTGCGAGAATCGTGGATGATCACGGCCTGGTGTTTGTTGCGGTCACCACTTATAGTTTTGTGAGTGAAGAGTTCGCAATGGTGCATGGACAGCTTCGTCTTTGATTAGCCTGCGCTACCGCGTGAAACCAAACTTTAAACTAAACCTTTCAGAATGTGGGTTACAAAGTCGGTGATTGGTTGACTTGTGAAAGTTTTAAAAACGACGGCCTAGGTAGAAAAATTTCACGGTCATCGTCAGTTACGCGTTATAATTAACCGTGGGACTTGGCATAAGCTCATGCAAACCCGGAAATCCAAATGTTCTCATCAAAACGGAACAGATTAAATGTGTGTGTGTGTGGCGTTTTGGATGAACTTGGAGCGTAGCTACGTGGTTCAACCCTGATTTCACTCAGCTTCGACTTGCTAACAGCTTTGCAACTTTTCAGTTAAAAATCAGCCAATAATCTATAGTGTACCAGTGTTCCCTACTGTGAAAAAATCTATTTGAATTAAAAAAAAATTCAAATAGATTTTTTAACAGATTTCAGTTCGTAAAATATTAGACCTATTCTAAGGACTTAAACAAGCCAGATGAATGATTACTTTGGCAATTTTGAAGGTCATTTGAAAACTGAATTATTCAAGGACATTCTAAAACGCGGCACGTGGATTACTGGCTACTGCTACAATATATTCTCTCAATAACTTACGCATTAAAAACAGGAAAACAAAATTAAGCAAAAATAGAGACATAGAAAAGGACAATTTGAAAAGATTTTGCATTAAAATTATTGCAATAAAAGTGGAGAACATCGCGCCATGAACGGGGTTCTTACTTTGGTCCTAGGGGTTAATTTTTAAGTCCGAGAACCGAGCTAGCAACAAGTGGTTTGGTTTTACGCAGTACGTTTACAGGTTGTAATAACTGTTCTCACCAATCCCATCCCAGAACAGACGGTCAGTTGATTGGTTAGACAGCTAGCAGTTCAACCAATCAGCGTGATCGAGATGTGAAATGCACATTTGTTAACGCAAGCACACACATACACACACTTCCGGCTAAAGTGACAGATTTTGTCGCCTTCCGTTTGTCAAATATTTAGACCACGCCTATCCACCGTAAGATAGGCCTCATTTATATTTCTTTTCTCATAATACCGGTACAATTGCTTTTGAAACCGACTCTAAACTTGAAATCGTTTTTGATTGTATGTGAAAATTCCAGTTACGGCTCCAAATGTGGGTTCTGGGTTCTCCGCCGACGCATCGCTTTAACGACAATCTTAAAGATCCCAAGGAGTCGGAATGAATAATGCAAACGGAATTCGGCGAATCCTGGCTTCAGCTTTAGTGCATGGCATGCTTAATACCATTCAATTCGATATGTTGTTTAAAACAATGATAATACTTCGTAGACGCGGATTCTCACTGAAGCGATGGCACATTCCAATTTGACTGAACGAGGCGAAATCAGTGGTGTGCGTTGAAACTCGTGAATGCAAGCGGGCATGAAAAGAAATATGGATGAACCTGGTACACGTTGTTGCAGCCCTAGTTTAAATTGACCCATAATTGTAGGCTACAAATCACCTCACCTCCATAGCAGCGTCTGTCTAATGTAAACTATTGTGGTGCAATTAATCACGCTAATTCACGTCTATCTCTGCCGTCGAGTCAGGTTAATACACAAACTTGGTAATCCACGGTGTTCCAGCAATCGGATTGGCTGTTCTGCACTCAACCCATTCCACTTCACTGTCTCCAGACGCGTCTGAGCACGCACAAGTGGGTTCGACAATACGCCGTTTATCTCCCTCATCCAGCCCTTCAACAGTCCGATGGCATTTTAGAAGGTGGTTCGGGGTACCCGTCCATACTCAGCGTTGCCATGGATCCTTCGACCGAAATCATTTGGGCGTTTTCATTGTTCCTCATCTCAGTTTGTCCAGCCAACCCAAACTATCAACCTACCTCAACAATTTATGCGTCTGTCTTGTCTTCGCACCCCTGACGTCTACAATTTGGTGCTCAGATGCGAAGCTGGGACCAGGGGCAATATCAGACCGTCGCAAGGCTTTTACTTAAAATGCAAAAAAGTGCTTATTCGTGAGCATAATCTTCATTGTAATTGGCAGAAAAATTGGTTAATTTGGCATCCAAGACGGCAATGAGAGAAAACCGAAGCAACATCGAATGCTGCTCTTGTACCAATCGATAATGGTATTGCAGTCAATTATATGGGATTACATTTTATCGAAATACTATTCGTGTGCTATGTAATGCAAAATGATTGTCAAGAGCTTAGTTGTGAGGGCTCCAAGCGTGAATTTATGATGGTAGGGGAAATTAAACGGCCGTTTGATTTCTCTCACACAAAGCGATCAGATAAATCACCCAGGCTAATTAATACTACGCCCATAACCACTCGAATCGGACGAATTTCATCACGCCCAATTCGACGCAGTGAATTTATAGCTGTGCCTTACTCACTCCAGGGTTTTTTTCCAATCGATATTCTAGAAAAATCGCCGGTCTTAAAAGTGCCAATGATTTTGGTGTAAACTGGGTGGCAACGCGATCTTCCCAACTCGATATGACCAATCAGATTTGCACAGCCTGTACTCCAAAACGCGTTAACCTCTAAGAGTCAAGAGTCTGGTTTAGTGAACTTATTTTAACAGTCTTTTTGCAACTCTTCTTAAGGTAGTTGCGTGCCACATTTGTGGGCAAGGACGCACCCGTCCTTCAGACAAGGCCGTCTAGACTGAAACGGCGTTCTTAAAACATGCCCGAACGGCGCGCACGGAACAACACCACACCACATACGTCGTCAGCAGCCACGCGCCTTACCAAATTTGCACGCCATTTACGAAAAAAATCGCAATTACTGTCGCCAGCCCTAGTTTTGCAATTAAGAGTTGAACCCGGATTGTTGAAAAAATCCTCTGATCGTTATCTTGCTTCATGCAGCACTCCAAAATTGATTGGTTCAAACAAAATTCCGAACATCTTGAAGTAAATATTTACAATTACGATTACAAACAAAACGATAAACCAAATAAAGTAACATTTGTGCCATATTTGTTCCTTTAGTTCCCTGGGACGCTTGGCAAGTGTGTGTTTAATAAAAGTGGTGCAATTTTCCGAAATTCAAAAAGCCGGATTTTTTAATGATCGATTCAAACAAAAACGCATTTCGGCGAGAACTAATGTCAGAATCCATGCCGACTACCACATACTACGGATATCTAGGAGAAAAATGAAGGCTGTAAATCTCGCAATGATCGAAAACAAAATGATTACCTACCAAGTGTTACTCAATCGAATTTTGTACACGTTGTCATAAATAATTTGCTTTAATGGTACACTGAAACACACAGGTCTTGATTGCTACTGAAAAGTTAGCTAAGTTGCCACCCTCGCTTGATTCTCAGGCCTACACTCGTGTAAATCTTTTTTTCGCAGTAACTCAAAAAAGAGCTGTTGGTGCCAGATCGTGTGAATAACCTAGATGGGGGGTGTGGGGGAAAGGCGTTAGCCCAAATTTGTAACGTTTTGTGTAGCGTTTTTGTTGGGTTTCCTCACGTTGACATGCGGTAAAGTGGCCGGTACAATATGGGGTTTTTGCGGGTTCAGATGGAAAAACAGCCGCCT